ACCTTCAACACGGAGTTCAAATCTTTTAAATTAGTAAATTTAACTTCAGTAAATGGAGTCAAATACACTCATTTCATTTAATAAGTTGATTGTTGGGTTTTACAGTGTAGTCAAATGCATGTACTGTAGCCCTTTTGAGCACTAGAAAGTCAATGAATATTCAATGTAAAAAAATAAAATGATTGAGGTCTTGTAAGTCTCACAGATCAGGAAAATGACAGTCAGATGCATCTCAGATTTGAACCATAATGTTGCACACTGTAAAAGATCTGGTAATTAACTGTTTGGTGATTCACGAGTGTTTCCCAATTAACAGTTGTGCACTGCATTAAGGGATGTTGATCTCTGCTCTGTAGAGTTAAATTCAACTCCAGTTTACAAAAAAAAAAAAAAAAAAAAAAAACACATTAATTTGAATTATAAAATGTATAAGAAATGTAGAGAAGGGGTGCCCAAACTCAGTCGTGAAGGGCTGGTGTTCGACATATTTTAGCTCCAACCACAATTAAAACACACCTGAAGCAGCTAATAAAGCTCTAGGTATACAAGAAACAAGGCAGGTGTTGAAGTTAGTTGAAGCTAAACTATGCAGGACACCAGCCCTCCAGGGCAGAGTTAAGGCACCTCTGATAGAGAATACTGTAAAATAAATGTACTGCCAGTTTACTACAAGGTTTCTGTAACTAAAAAAACTATTACAAACAAAGTTAGAAAGTGACCTAATAACTTTAAGGTTCAAAGTTGTTAGACGAAAGCTCTATAAAAAGCAATTCAAAAGCACAAATGGAAGGAGAAAAAAAAAAAAAAATTTAATTTTTTTTTATGGTGCTTTAGCAATGTACAGTCAACGCAGCTTCACATAGATTACAGTGAATTAAAACAGTGTAGTTCGGTTTTCAGAGTTCAATTCAGTTCAGCTTAATATTCACTGCTGAGTCCAAACACTAAAGTCAATTGTGTAAAATGTGATGATTTAAGAGTTTAGGTTTTGTAAGAAACCTATTAGGGTTTTAGGGAATATAAAATAACTTGTATTCTATTCTTAGAAACAAGGATCATTTCAGAGAGAACTTATTTACCTATACTTTTCACCCTCATTTATGCAGTTTAATACATTTCATGTCCAGTTCTTAAAATACGCGTTTGTGAAAGGAGTACAACTCCAAATGACCAAACTTGACTCAAGAGTGGAGGGACCAGACCAAAACAAAAACAACGCTTACCAGCAGGTCTGAGAGGTGATCAGAACCAGAGCTGAAGCCACTAGTCTCCGAGTCCACAGGGCTAATGGAGTGAGAGTCCAGAAAAGACTGGGAGTTTAAGCGAGCCATGCCTGGGAATTTTTCTAGGAAATCTGTGGCACCAATGGAGGAGTCAGAGTAGTTTGAAAGCTTGTTTGTAAGCTGACTGGGAGTCCCCAAAATCCCTTGCACTGAATGAAATCAGAATTAAGACAAATTAAGTTGAAAATTATCAATTCAAAAGAAACCTAAACTTTGAAATTCATACTTTACCTCCAAACTAACTCAAATTACTCAAAAAAACAGCTTTTTCTATTGCAGCACTATTCATGGGAGTTACAAATGCATGAGGCAGGCCAAGAATCTGGGACTATAGTCAACAAAAGGCTCTGACTCACTATAGGCCTAGTGAGAATGGCAGTCAGGACACAGACGCAAATAAAAACAAAGTCATTTCTATTCATGAACAATGTTGTACAGCTAGCAAACAACAGACCAAGCTGGTTCCCTTTGAAAGACTGGAACAAGTCAAGCAATGGAGTTTAATTTAAAAAATATATAATTATTATATTACAGATTACATGGACTATTAGACAAACTCGAATTTTAAAAATGACTGACACGGATAAAATTTAAATAAAAAAAAGTTAGCTGAACATTAATCTGCCCTAAAAAGTTCTCCATTTCACTCACATGAGGCTGTGTTGGTCTTCACAGAGGGATCGGTGTCATGGCTGCTCCACGGTCTCTCCCAGTCAGACAGGCTGAGGGACTGTAGGCCCAGACCCCAGTTGTTGACATCAGGCAGACCCCTGGACGAGTCCTGGCCACCGCTGGGAAAAAGCATCCTGCTCCGGACCGCAGACAGGTCTGAGTCGGGACGATCTGAAAACAGAGTCCAGAAATATAACGCACTGTTTGGCAACTCGGCATCAGCTGTGGGAATAAAAAGGCATGCACATTAGAGAAAGCATTGGCTCCCTAGGCTGATAAAACAGCGGATCGCCTCCCTCCGCCTGGCTAAACGGCACAGGAGCAGCTGTCTCTGCAGAGACGACCCACCCTGCATGTGACCCAGGCGCTGCTGCCCTCACAGCCCCTTGCTAATGACATCAGTCCCTGGCCTCCTCTGATGCCACACCACCGAGCATTCCTGACAAATTCTCCCGCAAAGAGCCAGAACCCCCTCCCACCTCTGGCTCCTGTTCGAGATGGCAGTGACAGAGAGAGAGAGAGAGAGAAACAGCTAGATCTCCCACCGCTAGCTGCAGGCTAAGAAATAAAACTCCAGTGGATCGCAGGACTGTTGCTACTGGCTAAGTAGCTGAAGAATGAGGAATCTGGGCTGCTCGTGCAGAACTGGACAGCACCCAACTGCTTGCTCTAGCCCTGATTCAGCATCCTCAGTCTCGCCTGCATGACATTGCATGACCAGTGCTGTATTGAATCCCCGTGCACATGAGGCTCAAATGCAAGCCCGAGGGAGCAAACAGCACTGCAGCAGATGCACAAATGTGGGCAGCTTATAAAACATTCCAGATCAACTCTGTAAACACAAATTTGTTTCATTATTCGATTGTAAAAGGTACACACTTTCTGCTTTACCATTAAAAGGGTCTCGCTTGCACTTGGCAGTGGGAGTTGTGCACACACCACTCAGATCCAGTGAGTTGCCCAGCATGGTGTTCATTCTGCAGAAGGCGTCTGCGTTGCTGCATGTGGATAGGGCTGGAATGTCAGAATCCAGGCAGTTAAGAAGTCTGGGATTTTCTCTCTGTCGGGATAAACCAGATGTAAACATCACTGGAATAGTAAAACAGTGTAGGCCTCATCCCTTACCTGCCCTTTTATTTCCACTCATTCTATATGCTAATAAAGCTCAAAGGGTATACAAATTTAGGTTTAAATTAAGAAAATAGCTTGTGCATCTAAAAAAAAAAAAAAGTGCAATATATCATTCATCAGTTATGCAAGCGGTGTACTCAAAAAGCAGACAACACTTAGACTGGACAAGCGGAGTGAAAAGTAACTACAATAACGAAACTCTAACGTTAACTTAGTTGCTGGAAGCTTTAGTAGCACAGGGTATAGTTGCGGTTAACGTTCCTGTAACTTGCATTCAATGAAGAAAAAGAAATCAAGTGTTTTACAGTTTACGTTAACATGACATAAACTTTATTAAAACGACAAATGAGGTGCAAACAAACACGGTTAAACCACTTCGTATTTAACAAGACTCGATAAAAGGACGACGAAAGATGCGAAACTGAACTGGCAGACTTTCTCTGTCTTAACTATCGTTACTCACCAGAGAAAACGCCATGGCAGGTCAAACAACCAAAATTACCGAAAATAACACCCAACTCAACTCTCCTAAAGTCTACTTAAAGCTTTCGAAGGAAATTTTGGCCTAATTTACAACACCTGTACTCGTGTCAAGCGCCTCATTCTTGGATCCAGTTCTTCGCCGAATTACCCAATCACAAATTATAGGTGTTTTTTTATTCATGAGGGGGCGGGCACAATAACGTAGACGTCATTTTCCACGTGCAATAACAATTGCTGTTTTGAAGAGCATGTGGGCTACTACATGTCTAATGTACCCTATCTTTTAGTCTATGAATGTACGTTACCTTATTATTTTTTGTGATAATTAATTGCATTATAGACTGGGTATGATTACACTAAGTAAATAACAAAAACTTACATCTCAGTCCTTTCGTGCAGGGCCCTCTGGGAGATGGATTTGATCAAATTCATTATACATACAAGAGAAAACAAAATGTATGCGAGGGGGGTGGGGGGCTCTTATTAAACACGTCTGATATTTTCCTCTCAAAAAGCTCGTTTTTCCGAGCCTGTTGTTCAGTTTTTTTCGCTTTAAACGCACTGACAAAAACCTGTTCTGTCTTAAAATTTATCTAAAATTACAAAAAAAGTTTATTGCACACTCACAGACAGACAGACAGACAGACAGATAGATAGATAGATAGAGTTTGGGGGGCCCACAAACGGCCTGGGCCCTTAGAATTGTCCTAATCTTCTGCATACATAGATACAAACATATACACACACATTCACAACGCGAATGTGGCATCATGCAATGCGATAAACAATAGTGAGAAGATCCAGGCCACGTTGCTTAATTTAATAAATTAGACTATACTGTGATTTCCTCCAGAGGGCAGCAGTGATCTGCTGTTTCTCTTCTGCCTAAATTAAGCTCACCCAAAACTGAAATGAGGATGAATGGATGCCATACTTCCATAATTTTCCTTAACTGCAGATGTAGCCACTGGTTCTTTAAAACATATTTTGTCCAATAAAAAAATAATAATAATAAAAAAATAACTTAGCAAGATCTAAATGAAACTGGAACCACTTGAAGTAAATGGTGTGTATGCATGTGTGTGTGTGTGTGTATATATATATATATATGTATGTATGTATGTATGTATGTATGTATGTATGTATGTATGTATGTACGTACGCACGCACACACACAGTTAAATGAATATAATTTTCTTCATGACACAAAAACATATGATCTGCAAAATTAAGTCTAATTGTTATTATAATAGTTACTGCTTGGAAACAAGATTAAATTAAGTGGTAAGCTGGTCACAATATCCTTTACTTGTGCACCATGGAGTAAATTCAAGCAGTTTGAAAAAGTGAATTGCTATACATACACTACATATCAACAGCAAAAACCAGCGTACAACATCTCACGGTTAGAAAAGTAAACAGACACAAACATTAATGCATTCCAATTTTAATACTATCATACAGTAGTTTCTTTATACACCAAACACTTTTTTTTTTTACAAATATATTTCTAATGTCTGAATTAACCTTTTCTACTACCCACACTAAAATCATGCACCACTGTAGCATATTTTATATTCAGAGTATTAACTTGTAACAGCAATTTCATGTTAGCAGCAATATATGCTGTCCCTATACTGTTAGTTTTGTGCCACAATGACAGTCAAACCAAAAGAAAATTACAACTTAACCTCTGAAGCTACTATAAAGGTCACCGATACAAAAACAAACACATACAGAGAGAAAAAAAAAAAAAAAGTTACCAATAACTTATACAGATTACTTATTTTCATTGCACATACTCTTCTCTCCCCATATACACACACACTCTAGATTGAGATTGTCTCATATTTTGTAAAGTCATCAGACCCTGTGATGCATTTCAGTGGAAACCATCAGTCTTCTGGACATCACCCATCAAAAAAAGCTGGCCACGGTTTTATACATAACTTCAATGACCAAGCTAACAAACACAAACAAGACAAAATGAACAAGGTTACACTGGTCATGGAAGCAGCGTACTTGAATGATGCACTGGGCTACACTTCATGCCAAAACTAACAAACATGCTCAATGTCGGACTCAGTTGTTTTTCCTCATACAACCAAGATCCAGAGGAAAAAAAGAAAATTGATGGAAGACTAAAAATGAAACGACCTTCTCAACCGTCAATAGAAAATAGTGGGGGAAGAAAATGAATGTATCCATTAAGAATGGTTATGGTCTATTGTACCATCTACTAAACAAGACTTGTGTGCTGTTGGCAATATGACTCCAATGCAAGCCCAACGAGCTTGAACTTCATCTCTTCATGGCCCAATTCCAAAGACGTCAGTTCATTTTGGATGCAACGGACTGATTTGATTCTGGAACTGAATATCAACTTTTTGAAGAGAGAAACCTGAAGGAAAATGGGAATAAAAATAAGTGCGTAAGATTATTATTAAATCATATCATATATGATTTAAGTTGCATGATACAGGCAATGATCTTACCTTTTTTTTTTTTTTCTTTTAACAGAACTGTCGGGATTTCCATCCAGGCTGGGACGAGTCCGATGTGGAGGGATACCAACGCATCTAGAAGAAATGAACATTACGAAAATAAGTGCCAGTTCATCCATCAGTTATGCCATAACTTTCATAAAATCGCATTCACGAGATAGACCATTTTGAGGGTGTAAACAAAAACAATGGTCAACGCATTTCCTGTTTTACATTTTGAATTTCTACAGCTTCTAAGGAAATCGGGTCAAATCTTTAAACAGTGAAAAATGGCTCACATTGATCTGTATCTTAAATAACATTAACGAAAAAAAAGAGACCTAATACAAATACACAATGGACCACCCCTTTAACGGTTCATACCATTGTGAATGCATCAGCCTGATTATGCAGGAAAAGACTCGGTCAGCTGGGTGAATCTAGAATCTGAACATCAGCAGATCTAGCCTACAGACAGATAGTCGAAAAGTACTAAATAGGTGTTTTTAATATGCATACAGCATAAACTGATATAATTAAATAAAATTAATAAAAAAAATAAATTTTAAAAAAGGCACCTGGAAAGTGCTTGAAATGGCCTCAAATTTGACCTATCAGATATTAATGTATTGGTCAGAATCAGCTCATTATCCCTCAACACAGACAATTTAAGTTTGATGACCAATCAGATGCAACAGAATTAAAATGTATGAATTTGGTTCACTGAAGCGCGGATATTTACACAAACTATTGAAAATAGGTACCTCCCCTATAGTCAATGTATAATAATTCGCAACCCGTTTACAACTGAACTAACAGTGCGATTTGTTTTTTTTGTCTTTTGAAAGAAGTCACTGATTCACAAACAGATTGAAGGACTGAAGCGGATTCACAATTACTTTGGTTCTGGGTTTAAGTTATTTTTATGGTTGCTTTTAAAATGCTTGGCCGGCCACACACGCACAGCATTAATGTTAAATAAAGCACCGCTGCAATTCACACTCCAACTGGAGTTGTTAAATTTTTGCAATTTTCCAGAAAAAAATAAAAATAAAATTCAAAACTTGCTGAATTCAGTGCTAGTAATAATCTAAAACGGTTTACAATTGATAAAATGCACATTATTTGTCAGTATTATTTTGCTAAATTTAAATTAAACCATTAAAAAAATAAAATCAATTCTCAGTTTGTTCTATTTTTTGACAATTTGTTTAAAAAAAACAAAAAACTTCATTACAAATTTAATTTAAGCAGTTTCAAGGACCCATGTTTGTTTAAGCTTCCAGAAATGATTAGATGTGCTCCAACATTAGGCACTTGAACAGCATTTGATGGTCTTCTGGGGAGTTTAACAGTTTTCAGGTACAGAAATTTAATTAAAAAAATCACAATGCTAAAAAAAAATGATTTTCTTTGTCTCATTTATTGTATACAATTTCTCAATATCTAAACATACAAAAAAAAAATGGATAAGTTTTTTTTTTTTTTTTTTTTTTTCAGATAAGGCAAAACTAGGAGTTTAATAATAAATTAAATCTTGTTTTCACTTTTTCAATTTAGCTATTTGAACTTAAAACAAAAGACAAAAATTGTAAGTAAGAAAAACTGTTACATAAATAATCTAAGACAGAGTTGTCCAAACTCTGTCCTGAAGGGCCGGTGTCCAGCATAGTTAAGCTTAAACTTCCTTCAACACTTTTTAGTATACCTAGAAACAGCTTGATTAGCTGGTTCAGGTGTTTTAATTGGGATTGGAACTAAAATATGCAGGACACTGGCCCTGTAGGACAGTTTGGACACCCTTGATCCAAGATGATTTGGTAGATCCTGGACCTTTTAATCTTGATAACTGATCTTTGGCTAATTGCGTTCTTCAAACAAGTTGGCAAATCAGATTAAGATGTCTAGATAAACTGATCAAAGACCGTTGCATGTGCAGTGAAGGACAGATCTACTGATCCTCAAAATCATCATCAGCAATGCAATGATTTACATAAAATTTAGCAATTTATTTAGTTTAACAATTACAGCGAATTGTTATAGTAGCCTAGACCTATTCAAGTTTCTTAAATTGGCATAAGGCGTAACTGACGGTTTATCCTAATACTGCATCAAAAAAAAGAATTACAATATTGGTAAAGATGTCTTCAACTTTTGCAAAGCAACAAATTATCGTCATAGCGGTCAAACCATGTGCATGACTGTATAAATTATTCCTTTATAATTAAAAAAAAAATATAATAATAAAATACTGCAGATCTATTATTCAGACACAAAATGTAAAGCTGAAAAGTCAATCTTAATAAATTGATGCCCTTTGGGAGAACCACTATTATTTTCTCCAAGTGTATACAACTACTACTGAAAGAAAATTCAGCAACTCAGCAAATATCAGCAATTAGTACATACTTTCAGAATTAACTTTGCTTGAAAAAAACCCAATCTAACCCTGTTTATATGAAATGAGCAGCTGCTCCCGAACAGGTTTGAGCTACCAGAACTGTTGCTATGACAACTCTCGGATGAGTTTTAAAGAACAAAACTATCCTGGATCATGTCAAATCGTCAATAACCAAATCCAGCTAATCATGAAGAACATACCACTGGTTAGCTATAATCAAGACTCAACATAGAAATTTTTTGCGACTATTGCAGCTATCCACATTGCGATATCACTGCTGAAAAAATATATTGGTGTAGCCCTAAATTCAGTAAATGAATGCAGTGCCTCACCTGAGCATGAAGTGCAGCTGCTGCAGCGGCGGCGGCTGCAGGGTAGGTGAATGCAGTGTGGGGCAGGCCAGGGCTGAGCTCTGGGGTGTAAAGCGGATAAGGAGACCAGGCCTCTGGAGACGCTGGGATCAACGCCGCCCCTGTCAAGTCATCTGAGGAGGAACAGCAAACCATCACCTCTGACTCCCAGCCAGCAGAGCACGTCAGACATGACCGAAATCAACACTTCAAATCAAAGATAACGCGTTTGACAAATTGCTGGAGTCAGAGGCCCTCACATTCCAGCAGGCTTTAAAATCTGCAGGAACGGAGCATTGGTACCTTTGTGATCTCTGGTAACTTCAGTGACTTGTAACAGAAAAGAGGCTGAATGAGTTGTGAAGTGCTAACGCTCAACTTGTGTAACAGAAATCAGAGAACAGAAAAGGCCATTTGCTAATGACACATGCATGTGGAGGTGGATTAGTTTCTTCTTGTGTTTTCCTAAGTGCTACTCTAGATGCGTGTCTGGTCTGCCTGTCTCTGCCGTGTGTGGACTACCGTGTGGGCCGGAAACTTACATGGGTCCCGTGCTATGAAGTGCGCTCCTAGAGCTGGGTGGATATTTGTGGGATTCGGAGTGCCCATCAGCTTACTCTTTGCCATCTTCGTGTTGGCCTTAGCAAACTCTAACCGGAGGGTCTGCGGGTTTTCAGGGTCAAATCGAACCCCCTGGAGACACAAGGGGGGGAGGGGGATAGAGTAATGGGGATGGTTGTGCCTGCCAGACCCTGGTCAAAATGTGCAGCGTGTCTTATGCTGGTGCTCACATGCAGTGAACGTTTACTACTTTTGAAAGTGACTGAACAGCAAAGCTAGTGGAAACCTAAACAGAGGTGGACACAAACTACACGCTAAAGACAAGAGGAGTGCTAGAAATAACACCTATTTGTAATGTGCTGGAAAAGACCAACTTGTGTCATGAATCAGGGATGTCCCGATCAGATCCAACAATTGATAAAAATATTTAGTGTGCGAGCAAGGAATACTTAAACCGTATCAGCTTCAGGAAACCAATTTTAAATCAGAAAAAAAAAACATTCTAAATATGCACAGCTAAACTGTTACTCCATGTACATTGCAGTATTTCCACAATGAGCAAAGCTCTGTTGCTACCATATTATCATATTTAATAGTAAAGCTAATTGCTCAAAGCTAAACACTCAACAATGAGTTGTACTGCTGGCCCCTTGTCAAGCCTACTATTGGAAGAATAGAACTTGTACTCTACATTAAGGCAATTTAGCATGCATTTGAAAACAGAGTATTTTCATTAAAACACTTTAAATCTTGACATTTAATTAATAGATATCTGCATTATCCACAAAATTGTTCTTGCAGTTCCAGCACTTGTTGAACAGTGACACCACATATCAGGTCAAGGTTTTTTGGGGGGCGGTTCTGAGGCATTTTTACCCTGTTGCATTCTGAGGCAACAGGGTGAAGCCGGTTGTTCATGATATTGGACTTCTGTAATCCAATCAATAAGCAAACCAATCAGTAAGTTCCTGCCTGTTGTAATTTGAAAATGTTTAAAACTAGATCCACTGTGCTGAAAACACAAAAGTGACCATTTCAAATGGTAAATTTCACATTTCTTGATTTTCGCCAATACTTTGACTATGTAGATTGGATTTACTAACAAGTAAAAAATAAATTGTAGAATTTCTAGCTTTAAAATCAGAAAAAAAAAGTCTGTCCGTTATAAAAATGGACAGTGGGTTTAGTAGTTAAATATGTGGGTTGGTTTAGACATGAGGGATAGTTCACCCAAAAATGAAAATTTACACTTCACTTTCCTTCGTTCCAAATTTGAGTTTTTTTTTTTTCCTTTTGAGCGCAAAAAGAAAAAGCTGAAAAGGAAAGACAATTAAAAAAAAATAAATAAATACTATGAAAGTCAATGAATACAGTTTTTCAACTCTTCTAAATGTATTGTGCACTCCACAGAATAAATTCATAAAGGGTTAACTTTTTTTAATGTCTCCATTAGAATGTATAGTGCAATCTATAAAAATAAATAAAAATAAAAATAATAATAAAAATAAAATTTAAGGTCTGTAACTTTCAGCTAATTCTTCAAGTAAAGAGGAACAATTTGTATAATTTTATTAGTAATTTGTTTTGTTTTTTTACAGCCGTTTTGACCTGATGTCCATTGAAAATAACTGACTTTTTTTTTTTTTTTTAAACTGTTCTCACTTATGAAAAGAACAGAGAAATATGTACTTAAGATTCTTCTGAAAAACGGAACAACCGTTTTGAAGGGGTTAACATCCTTAAAGCTTAATTTTTTTTTTTTTAAATTTACAACAGCAGGCATAACGATGTTTAAGTTTACACTATACTAATTTGTACCAAATACCTGTTGAACAATAACAAGAGATAGTTTTAGTTTATAATACTAAAGAGCAGGTTGGACATTTTAAATGCACTACAGAGATATGTAGATTCCAGCATATAGACTAAACAGATTTAACAACCTTTATATATCCCAGTGAACAGAGATCTAGCACAACACAAATCTTGGTTAGGGAAACGATTTGATGACGCTCAATATTAAATGATTCTGATCGGGACATTCCTATCATAAATATGGGATACCTTAAGGTTAAAATAATAGCAGAAACTGCACTGATTTAATGTCAAGAATGATACAAATCTTTGGACATCTGTGTTATAAACCAGCTACAAAAAAGGTACAGTATAAGCCTATATATGTGTATGTAAAGTAGATAATGCATATAAAAAGCTAATCAAATATGAAGCAGGGCATCATCTGACAGTTTCTCAATAATTCAAGCCATTGCTTACAGATGGCTGCTTTCTTACGTTTAATGCATTTTTTGCCGCTTCAGCGCCAGAACGACTGTCAAAGGTTACAAACCCAACAGGCTGGAAAAGAAAGAAAGAGCAATCAATAGCCAAAAGCAAAATATCAAACAGAAGAGAGATGTTACATTGGATTAGATCAATTAAAAATATACATCTATGCTGTTCTTTTTTTAATCTTCTTTAAATGTTGATGTAATGCATTGATATCCACTATATACAGTGAAAGGGGACAAATAAGTCATTAAATCTGCAGCAAAAGTGTAAATATACAGGTTTTTATATTTATAGCAGATCCGGTCAGCTGTAATGTCTAACAATGTCTCACCTGCTTTGAAGTTAGCTTGATAAGTGAACCCTCATAACCCTGAAAAGGAAAAGAAATCCAATTAGCAGCAATGTAGTCACATGCTTTAAAACAGAAGAAATTCCTGCCACACACCCCATAAGAGGCCAGTGCTGTCAGACAGAGACATTCACAGAGGATGCACTTTACTGCACTGCTAACCTGCGTGACTGGAGAAGAACATCCCCAAACATGATTCCAGATCTAGCGCCCAGTTTATAAACATGATCACATTCAATTAACTCAGTTCAATTTCTTTTTTTTTTTTCTTTTTTTTTTTTAGGTTAAATAAAAAAAATAAAAAAATACAAGTCACTTTAACTTCCATCAATTAAACTTGCTTAAGTTTTTATTTTTTTTAACTTAGTTAACCTTAAAAAAAAAAAAAAAAAAAAAAAAAAAAAAAAAAAAGTTAAATAAAATATTGTCACCACTTCAATATAATTTGTATAGTGTATATTTTAAAATAAATAAATCTAAGAGTTTACTGATTATTTCCACTTGTTTAAATTACTCTTGTAAAAAGCTAAAACAAATCTTCATAAATTTATTTTCTGAAGATCCCACAGTAGCTCTGCTAGGTGGCAGATCGAAAATAGATTTATTGCAAATTCTACTTGCTGCAGCTTTAAAAGTGCATCACATGCAGATGAGTAAATTCTGAACCTCTGTCATATAATGCTCGCATTCAAAAAGTGTGGGAATGGTTAGGGTTCTTTACTTTTTTAAAATGGCACCTTTGGATATTTTTTTTTCTGCTAGAGATACTGTTGGGCCCAAAAAAATATACCTTCAGAACGGTATTACATAAAATTGGCAGTTTTAAAACCTTGACTTTTTCAAACTTCTTTATACCTTGAAAACAGTTATCATCTCATGCCTAGCATGTATGTGCATATACATGCATGCACACATGCGTGTGCATGAGTGTATGCTTATGTATGTAAAAATCTATACATTAATTTCTTTCTATTTCCTCGTTTATATATCCTAAAAATGTTTTGTTCTCTAAATGCATTTACAATCGTTTTGGTAGCCAGAAATTGGACTAAGATGGAAAAAAAAAAACTTGCACTATGTAATATCGTATTCTTTAATAAAAATAAGTTCCAAAACAAAAAAACAAAAAAAGCTAAAGCAACTCGAGTTTTTGGCACAATTTATTTTTTACAAAATTAAATGGATTGAACAAAACAAGTTAACCTAAAAGATTTATGCTGGGACATGAAGGAATTGTGGATCCCTGCACTTTCTTCCATTCATAGTCAGCGATAATAAAAGGTATGGCTCACCCAAAATGTAAAACTTTTCATAATTTAAAAAAAAAAAAATCACCCTTGTTTTAAACAGATCTTTTTTTTTTTTTTTTTTTTTTCCATTGAACAAAATATATATTTTGACAAATGCTGGAAACATGCAACCATTCCACTTTCAATGTATTTGTTTTAATGGAAATCAATGGTTGCGGGCTTTCATAGACTTTCCTGAATGTCTTTATTATTTAACAGTATTAAATAAACAAAACTCTATTTTAAACCACTTGAAGGTGAGAAAAGAGTGTAGCTTACCCAAAATGAACACCATACCCAATTGAAAACATTTTTTACCTTAAATGGTCGAAATAGCAGATAGAGCTCACGAGGTTTGATATCTGTTGGCAGACCACTGACAAATAGAGTTCGAACCTGTAAAATACAAGAAAGAAAATCAAATGTGATTTAAAATTTAAACACATGTGGGCAAATACTGGATTACAAAAGTATGGAATCCAAAATTACTTAATTCAGCATTCATTTAATTCAAAAAAAAAAAAAAAAAAAAAAAAAAAAAGTGCATGGGATGCAATTTATTTATTTATTGCCATATCAGCAACTTAATCGCTATTTCATGGCAAAATGGACATACAATTTTTTTTATTATGTTTTTATGTATTACAATAAAAAGTTAGACAAATATACAAGATATAAATAAATTTCACACTAAATTATATTCAAAGTTTAATATGATTTTTCAGTTCAATTTTTGATAAATTAAAGATTCTTCTTGGTGGTATCATGTTTTAAAATGTCCATCAAAGTACTCTTCATATAAAAATAGTCTAATTGCCTTCAAACTTCCACATTACAACAAAATATACATGTTTCATGGTAAAAGTGCATGGCATGTAATCAGCTATTAGCATAATAAAAAAAATCATCATGTGAAACATGAAACTATAGCACAAACGTTTCTAGAAAACATATGCAGTTACATTCAGCTAAATGGCTACAGAAATAAACAATTGTGGATCCATTCGCTTTGACTTAGTGGGAGGTTGAAGCCACAATGAACTGCAGTGAAACAGCGATGGACAACATTGCACAGTGTGACAGCACTTCCTTCCTCTGACCCACAGAAACAACCCTGACAGCGCAACACCCTCGGCCCTCAAACACAGAGCCCCAACCCTCCACCACTACACCTTTACGACTGACTTCACCTGACAGATTACACACTTAATGACTTAAATGCCATTAGGTTACATTTTAGAATAAATTCCAACACCTTGAAGAGATGACACCAATCCATTTTAAAAAAATCTTTGAACCAGTATAAAAAGAACTTTTATTAAAAAAAAAAAGTTGAAATAAACGTTCTAATCATGATCACAGTATAATTATTGCTTTTGTTCAGAGTTTCTGCTGAAATACTGACATCACACAATTGCATGATATTTCCACATTATCCTGCACCTATACTTTTGACAAATTTAATACATCTAGATATAAATCCGAGATAATTTTTAATTGTAATGCAAAAACACATTTTCTGTAAACCTGTTTTCACGATATATTGTGAAAAAGCACAAAATCAACGTGAAGGTCATTTAAACCATCAAAAATAAATAAATAAATAAAAAAGTAAAAAAAATGTAAAATTATATCCCAAACTGCTAAATATAAAAATGTTTAATTTTTTTAAATTACCCTACACCTAAATCAAACCAAATTATTTTTAAAGTTATGTGATTGTCACATAGAATTGTAGCCTATTTTCTTTGTCAATCATTAGATTGTCTTAGTCAATCACTAAAACGAACCAAACAATGCACATTTAAAATTATATTTCCTGTTTTTAAAGTTTTAGGGTTTTTTTTGCTTGTTTTTTTTCTTTTTTTAAGCTTTTTTTTTTTAGTTTTGCATTTTCAAACCTAAAACAAATTAGATCACTGCTACATTACAACAAACATTTAGTGACGCTGAAGCCCCTTTCAAACAATACAGTGATTTTCAATAGCAAATGTTCCAAACAAATGACTGACATAGCAGAAAGCATTTTTGTTTTTAAATATTAGCAACAAAGTACGTTTTTTAAATTCTCTCGAGTGATTATTTCCATTATTTACAGGATGAAAGCCCCTTCACGGAGCGTCGCTGAGACAAACACTTGAGGGAAGTTTGAAAACATTTCACTTCGACATAAACTCCTCACAAACACTTCTTTAAAACGCCGAGAACCCTCACCTCCTCTTCAAGAGAGACGTTGTTGTTTGGCTCGGAGTCGGACTTGACACTCATCTTGTGCGTAAACTTGAGACACCCAAAAGAAACACCGGCAGAAGTTTCGTGTTTTTTCCGCGTCCTTAAAGTGCGACTGGATCCTGTTGGCGAAGCGTGCGGGACTCAGCAGAACTTGTGCGGGAACACCGAGGTCGTGTCAAAAGTGGCAGGTGAGCTGAAGACGCGAAGGTGACTCGGTGAAAAGAAGTGCAGTGCCTGGTGTGAGGGGGGAAAGAGGAAGAAAAAAGAGCGGTGCCACCTCACATTTACCTCGTTTTAAATGTTAAATTTCAAAGAAAGTGGAGCTCATGGGTGAAACCTGTTCCATAGTTGACCTGCTCGCCAATTAGGTCATCAAGTGAGAATGGGGCAGGCTCGAGAGTGGCGTTGCAGCTGGTGGAAAAGCCAACCCCTCCATTAGTGAATCATCGCCTTCACAGAGAAGCACTGACCAATTGAAAACGCTGCTTTTATTATTGGACACATCTCATATCAACTCTATCACGAGAAGGGAGGAGAGTAAAGAAATGAAAGAGAGAATGGCTTGTTTATAAGTTTACCCAAGAGATATGAAAACTTTGTATCTTTAAAGGAGAGGAGGAGGCAGTTTAGGGTCAGGGTTTAGCCTATACATCCTCTGTTTGTTTGTTGAAAAACTGAGCTATTCTAAAAATAGGCCTGACATTTGAGTGCACTTAATTGTGGCAACATCTGTTAAAAAGGAAAGCTGTTTGTCTTTAAGAGGTATACACACATTACGGGGAGCCGTCTATTAGACATGGGCCTGTTTTGCAAAGCTCATAAATTTTAGGTTAGACTGTTAGCACCTTTAACTAGACTTTTGTCCCATTTCCTGACATTGTGTTGTCGCACAATCAAAGTAAAGGAGTTTGTTGAAGCCGGCAGGGTGTGGTAGGGGTTGAGAATGTTTGGGTTTTTTGCATTATTTTCTGATTGACCTAGTGTTGTTTTGTACAATCTGTCTAAATATAGACAATCCTTCTTGCCAGGCCTCTCTAATTCCATTGTACATAAGGGAAACATGAGCTATTTATAAATCTTACAGATGTTTAAACACAGACATGCAGTTTTGTATCTGCTTCATCCAGTAACAGGCACCTCACTTTGTTTAAAGCTTTAATGCACTAATAAATAGTTTAGGTTCACACACACACACACACAGATGCATATGTACTGTATATGAAGAGTTTAGATGCAAAAACCTCTAAACGCCAAATGAAATTTTTCTCTAAAATTATTTTATTTTGTCTAAAATTAGCATTTTTATCAAGCTCCTTTGTGTTTTTTCAATAATATCACTTTTATGACAAAGAATGCGTTCTTTTCCCGATCTTCAAAGTGAAATATCTCAACATAAACAATGGAGGCTGAGAAAAATATTCATTTTCAACTTTAGATGGCACTTTAAGGTTTTTGTGTCTAAACTCTTCATATATAACTTTTAAAACAACATCAAATGAAAGGTTGACCGCCCTGATGTCAATTTTCCATTAACACTTGTTCTTTTAGAAAGCTGTGCCTCTTGTCTTGTTCTCAGGGGTTTAAAAATAAGTCAAACAGAGCACAGAGGTACGCACAGCCAATGATTATACAGCAGACAGACTGATAGACATATCAGTGCCAGGCTCTTAAAGAATGACAAGTGTACAGATTGGCTGAGTGCAGACATGCCACAGCTAGAGGAGTGCTGACGTTTGTCTTACATATTGCAATGCAAAGTGACATTCAAAATGATGGTTTTAAAATATTTAGAGAATGTTTACATGACACAGATTGCAACTGAAAATGGAAAGAAAAAATTGTATATGTTTATGTTGTATATTTAGAAGACAGCACTGGAGAATGATCTATCACCATGTAAACTTAAAAAGGCGATTTTGTGAAAACATTGACATCATGGACTGTATGTGTTCAGTCTGCAAGCAGAAGTACTGTAAATATTATGGCAGATTACAGGATTGTTCTCTGTGTGAAGGCTAGTGTTGCTTTACAAATTAACATCACCAACCATTGGTTTTGACCAGTTCCAATTGTTTTAATCGTTTATGTACCCTAAATTTCTTTCTACAATTATTAAAATAAAGGTTTTTATTATCATGTTTCTATCATAAGACTTTTATAATCTATACAGACTCCTCTATATAAGTGTTAATTTTGATTTAGTTTTTAGTCTTTTGACTAAAATTCCATTTTAGTTTTAGTCCTATATTAGTCTTTTGAATCATTTTAGTTTTACTCTTGTTTTAGTCGACTAAATTTCATAAGATTTTATTCGACTAAATCTACTCTATATTTAGTTGAATAAATATATATTTGGTTTAAGTTAAATGTAATTTAATTCAAATATTGTATACATTTATTTATTCTGTTTCAGTTTAGCAAAAGCACACACACAGGTAAATAAAAAGATCAAAGTTACCCTGAATTTTGGGATGATTCCCTGGCATGCTGATGTCACTTTAAATTAGTTGTTTTTATCAGCTTTTTCCTGCTCATACGGATTACGGTCTATTTGTCTTGACTTCAAACATGAATCTTCTTTTTCTCTTAGCTGTTGCCATTTCATTGTACATAGTTTAATCAGACAGATGCCTCTATGGATGATGATGTAATTGCATCCCGCGTCTACTGTGGATCAGTTACTTTTTAAATGTGTGTGTGTGTGTGTGTGTGTGTGTGTGCATCATGCGTCACACACCAAGTGTTGTAATTCTAATTGGTTATTTTTCAAAAACGTAACTTAATCACATTCTTGTCTCGTTTTTATTTGTCAACGAAAATGTCAGTATATTTTTTATTATAGTTGTCGTCATCCTCACTAAATTTTTATTTAGTTTTCGTCTGCATAATTTTGTTCGTCACAAAAATTATGACGAAAATTTTTCCTCAATGAAATTACCACTGCTATATAACATGCAAAGAACAAAATTTTCCTTTTTATTAGAAATGAGTTTTGAACTTCTTTCTATTTTAAATGTTCTTAACACCAAGTTTTTTTAGTGTTAAATTAAATTCAAAAACTCGCTTTTGAAACTCATTCATTCATTTTCCTTCAGCTTGGTCCTTTTGTTCATCAGAGGTCAACACAGCGCAATGAACCGCCAACTTATCCAGCTTGTGTTTTTTGCAGTGGATGCCCTTCCAGCCAAAACCCAGTACTGGGAAACATCCATACACACTCATTCACACACATAAACTACAGCCAAATTAGTCATGTCTTTGGATTGTGGGGGAAATCGGAGCAAACTCCTTACAGAACTGACCCAGCTGGGACTCGAACTAGCGACCTTCTTGCTGTGAGGCAACAGTGCTAACCACTGAGCCCCATCTGTCTCCCCCTTTTAAAACTTTTATATTTAATATTTAAGAGTTTTACTTAAGCTATATTTACACCCCACACAGAAAAACAAATACTATCAAAATACTAAAGAAAGATTCTTTAGATTGTTAAAATGTTCTTCACACTAGAATATGGCCTAAAATGGTTCCACTTTGATAAAAGTCCTCTTTTGGAACCTTTATTTTTAAAAAGTAATACTTTATAAATGATCATTCATGAAATTAACTACATATATTATTATAAAGCTGACATGTATATGCCAATTCTGGCCAAATTGTTAATCGGCATCCCATTTCGTGTCATCTACTTGTTAGTGGTGGGTCTCCAACACAAAGACTGTACAGTGGGGCCAGAATGCTGCGATGAGGCCTTCATGTTTTATTGGAGAAGAGCAGGCCCATTGTCCCAAAAGCCACCTCAATCCACACTCCTCCTCCTCACAGCTCACTGGGCCCGTCCCATCACATCAGCATCACAGAGCTCCACAGCACTTAGCTTGTGTTCCCTGTGTCCTCTGTGCCTCACTGCGGATCCACCATTAACTCCAGCTCTCCTTCTCTCAGCTCAAGTCCTATTGAAGGAAAAACATCATCTTTGAAGAGTCTTTATCTCTTTGTGTGCATAACTGAAGACTTAAATGAGATTTAGGGTGTTCACTTGGCATTTTTGTTCTGATTAAAGCAAACTTTGGTGTAATGTTATTGGTGACTGAGATGGTTGAAAAGATGAGTCTCTGTCCACATTCAGACTCTGGTGCAGTTCAACTGAATGAATACAACATTCTAAACGATCCCTACACGACAAGATGTCACAAGGTGCAACTCTAAAGAGGAATAGTGCTCAAGCATACTCATTTTTCCGGTCAATGTTGCAAGTTCGCCCATTACAGTTCAATGCAGGTGTCTGAAACACGTCTCTCTATGTGTGCAGATCTAAGTTTGCGTGTGTCTGACAGATAGCTGTTTAGACTCTTTCACACTGCACTTTATAATCTCTTCATGAGTTCTCAACTGATAAAATACCAATGCCTACGTATGCACCAGTGTTGAGTAAGTTACTTAAAAAATTATTAATTACTAATAACGCCATTGAAATTATATTCAAATTTAATTGCTCAATAATGAATTTAATTTAATTTACTTGACTTAATACTATTAAAAATCACTGTAATTTGTATAATTATAATTAATTTAATATAATTAATTTACTTTATTTTCTCATTTGTGACATGCAATCTATGAAAAGTACCTGGGTTATTGCAAGTAAGACTTTGGACATCTTTTGGATATTTTTAATGCTTTTAAGAGGTCTGCTGCATTTATAAAGCGCCCATGTCTTGAGTCTTGAGGTTGTTCAGTATGATGTGATATACTTTCTGCATGCGATTTGATTGCACAGGAATCACAGGACTGATTTTTCTACTTAATCCAATCCCCATAGACAAGACAAAATAAAGTAGTGACTGCAGGTTGAAGGAAAATAGTGTTAATCATTTCTGCACCGCTTCCTACCACAGAGGAAATGAAAGGTTCAGTAGACTTACTAAACTAGAATGGCTATTAACATGGTGTAAAGAACAGAAATTGCTCTTTGCCAATAACTGGAATATTTTCTGGGAGCGTCCTAGGCTTTTTCGTGCTGACGGCCTGCACCCCAGTCGAGCTGGACATCTCCAGGATGCTTCGTTCTATCTGACTAGTAAGTAAAAATTCACAAAATTCCCATTTTAGCCATATAGACTCTCGTTCATCCCACTTAATTAACAGTAGCAATATCTGGCTAACCCCATAGAGACTGTGTCTGTTCCTTGTCTTATTAGATCAAGAAATAAATGCACTGTGTGCTCCAGAAAAAATCTATTAAGAATAAAACCAGAAAAGTGAAAATATGAACATTGTAAAGCTCGGTCTCCTAAACATCAGGTCACTAGCACCTAAAGCACTTATCATAAATGAAATAATAACAGATGACAATCTTAATGCACTCTGTCTCACTGAAACCTGGCTGAAACTAAATGACTATATTAGTTTAAATGAAGCAACTCCTCCAGGATTCTTATATAAACATGAGGCTCGTCAAACTGGTCGTGGTGGTGGAGTTGCATCAATCTTTAGTGATTTCCTTAATGTTAATCAGAGAAATGGACTTATGGTTAACTCTTTTGAATTATTAGCGCTTAATGTTCAGCTTCCAGATACTATGCAAAAACCCATGTTATCTCTCGCTTTAATCACCATATATAGACCCCAGGACCCTATGTCAATTTTCTTAAAGAGTTTTCTGATTTTATTTCTGACTTACTAGTTAAAACTGATAAAATACTAATTTTAGCAGACTTTAACATCCACATAGACGGCGCTAACGACACATTAGGGCTCGTGTTTTTTACTACATTCACTTGGGATAAAGCAAAACATTGTTGGTCCAACCCATCGCTTAAAGCATACATTAGATCTAATTCTGTCTTATGGAATTGAGGTCATTGACGTAGACATTATACCACAAAGTAATGATATTACAGACCACTACCTCTTACTATATAAGCTGTGTTTACCTGAAATTAGCAGATCCGCTCCGATATATTGCCATAGTAGAACTATCGTTCCTTCCACCAAAGATAAATTCACAAATAACTTACCTGATCTTTCTCTAACGCAAATGACCTTGATGTAGCAACCAGCAGTATGGATGCCATCTTAACTAGCACACTAAATACTGTGGCACCCAAAAAATTAAAAAAGGTTAGGGAGAATAAAACTACATCATGGTATAATAGTCATACTCGCACACTCAAAACAGCAACCCGTGCCCTGGAACGTAAATGGAAAAAACAGAGGTCTTTAGAATTGAGTGCAAAGACAGTATGTCCAGCTATAGGAGGGCTCTAAAATCTGCCAGGGCTGAGCACCTCCGCAAACTGATAGAAAATAATCCTAACAATCCTAGATTTTTATTTAACACCATTGCTAAATTAACAAATAATTGGCCATCTTTGAAACAAAATGTTCCACGGCAAATTAGTAGTGATGACTTCATTAATTTTTTCACTGATAAAATAGAAGGCTTTAGACAAAATAGACGACGTTAAACTTTCTGCACCGCCTTATACTTCAGATCCAGTAAACATTCTACTGAATCAAAATAACCCAGACTCTTCAAAATCATAGAACGAGAAGAGCTAGAACCAACTATGTGTATGTTGGACCCAATTCCAACAAAATTACTGAAAGAATTGCTACCTGTTATTGGAGAACCTCTTCTTAACGTTATAAACTCTTCTTTATCTTTAGGCCATGTTCCAATTCCGTACAAGCTAGCTGTTATTAAACCTATTATTAGGAAACCACAACTTGACCCCAACAACTTAGCTAATTATAGGCCTATTTCAAATCTTCCATTTATGTCTAAAATACTAGAAAAAGTTGTTTCTGCCCAATTATGCTTTTTTTCCACAGACAAACAATGCTTTTGAAGTTTTTCATTCAGGTTTCAGAGCTCATCACAGTACAGAAACTGCATTAGTGAAAATAACCAACGATCTACTCTTAGCTGCTAACCAAGGGTGCATCTCGCTAGTTTTACTCGATCTTAGTGCCGCATTTGACACCATTGACCACAATATCCTCATAAATCGCTTAAAGTCTACGGGTGTCCAGGGACAGGCTTTAAAATGGTTAAAGTCATACTTAACTGACCCTTACCAGTTTGTAAATATTATTGAACAGCCTTCACAAGTCAGCCCAGTAATCTTTGGGGTGCCTCAAGGATCAGTTTTAGACCCTTTGCTGTTTACAATTTACATGCTACCCCTGGGAGACATTATTAGAAGACATGGGATCAGCTTTCACTGCTATGCAGATGATACTCAATTGTATATTTACAATCTAAACCTGATGAGATGTCTAGACTGTCTAAGCTAAATGAGTGTATTAAAAACGTTAAAGACTGGATGACCAACAATTTTCTTCTCTTAAACTCAGACAAAACAGAATTATTACATATTGGGCCTAAATCTTGTACACAGCAGATCTCACAACTCGATCTACAATTAGAGGGATACAAAGTTAGTGCTAGCTCTACTATAAAGAATCTAGGTGTCATATTAGACAGCAATCTAACTTTTGAAAATTATATATTCCATATCACTAAAACTCCATTCTTTCATCTGGGAAATATCGCTAAGTTATGAAGTATGCTGTCCATCTCAGATGCAGAAAAGCTAGTTCATGCTTTTATGACTTCTAGGCTGGATTAATGCTCTGTTAACTAAACTGGCTCCTAAACTCTGGAATAGCCTCCTGATAAGATCCGAGGCTCTGATACACTCTCTCAATTCATAACTAGATTAAAGACTTATCTTTTTACTAAAGCATACACTCAGTACATCACTTAGCGGTATGATGCATGAATGTGCTCCACACAGGTTTCTTCATCTTGTTTATATACACAATGAACAGCAGCTATGCTAATTATTCTCTTCATTCTCTATTTCCACCTGGGAATACTCATGCCTAGGCCCTCAGACTATGCAGTGCCACTGATTAATCCAAGACCAGCGACGAGATGATCACAAGGTTTCCGTAATTCTGGACCAGGCCGTATCCTGAGCAGCTACTGTGGTGGTCATGGAGGAGTGGAGAGCATGAGACTGATTTCTGCGATGCTCCAGGGACAGACAAGTCTTCGCTGAGGTCCAGCTTCCAGCCTCCGGCGCCTAGACTGCAGCTCTGCACAAGACGTTTGGTCAGTGGAGAAATGGTCATGCCCAACTGAGCCTGGTTTCTCTCGAGGTTTTTTAATTCTTCACTTTTGCCAATTGGTGAAGTTTTTTTCTTCGCTGTTGTCGCCACTGGCTTGCATGGTTCGAGATCTGTAGAGCTGCGCATCAATGGATTTGCTCTTCAGTGTTTGGACTCTCATTAGTGATTATTAAACCACAATGAACTGAGCTAAACTGAACTGAACTTTAACTCTGAAAACTGAACTAAACTGTTTCAATTTATGAACTTTTATCAGTTTATGATTTTTTTGTAAAGCTGTTTTGACACAATCTACATTGTAAAAGCGCTATACAAATAAAGGTGAATTGAATTAAACAATGTTAATCAAATATGATCATCTGATCAACTGATAAATGCAACCTATTTAGATGGAGAATAGAATTACTCTGCAAATTATATGTGTATAACAAAAATGTGATTAATCTGCTTCTCAGAACTGATTTATATATAACTGTTAAATTTATTGACAGTATTTAGGCAAATATATTGTAAGTAAGTGAACCTGCATTTTCTGTTTGTTGATCTGGAGCAAACAAACCAAGATAATCAAAGTACTAGTGTGAACACACTCTTAGATTCAGATTAATGATGATGCATTAATACCGCAAGATTGCATGCCTATAAATAGATTTCTCCAAAATATTCAAGTCTTCACTTTCACACTTGTCACTAGTCAATAAATGTACATCTTCTCGTTGTAACAGACTTCTCAGCCTTAGAAAACATCTTCATCCATTTTAAGTCTGATGACATACAAACACCACGCACCAAAAAAACACAAGTCAGCACA